ACGAGCGAAGTTCAGTCAACGGAACGAACCAAATGCATCGGTACTCTATGTGACAAGATGAGGGTTTTCTCTAATTGGAATTCTGGTTAATGAATATAATCGATCAACTATACTCGGTTCACGTGATTTCGATCTGGCTTCGATGCGAGACGATTAGACGCGCTGAAAATCGTGGTGCTTCGTTGCGTGAAATTTCATTGAAATCGCGGCGAGGTCTTTGCCTTTTCTTGCGCGATGGCTAGGAGAAGATTTATTTCAATCAAATTCATCGATATTTACATTATAGTAGTAATACGTGAGGAAGAAATGAATTTTTTAAGTCTAGACAGCATTTTTATGGCGACTGTAATAATTAGTGTATTAACCCTTTGCACTCGTATGTCATGTTAAAGATGACAATACAAATTTGTTATAGAACGTTGGAAATTGTTTTAAAACGCACCATACTTTAAAAGATTATAAAAGTTAAATCTTATTATTATTATTATAAACAAAATAAATATGAAACGTTGAATTCTACCGCTGTAAGTTACTATAACTCATTTTCCTGAAAATAAATTGAATGCAAAAGGTTAGAAATACGAGAGAAAAATGGAGTAACTAATATCTACTTTCACAAATTTAATTTTGACATTTACATTTTACTTTTAAACATACTCTTCTTCATTTCGATTAATCTATTTTATCTACGATCCAACGAGAGGATATGATTAAAAGAAATGGAAATTTTAATCAACTTCCTGGTCACAGACAATTCTTTTGACGATGAAAACTAATTTATTTCGATCGAATTAAACGCGACGAAGCGCCTTTTCCCCGATCGTACCACGATTCCCCTTCATTCCCTTCCCTTCAATCAATATCACATGAATATTGATCACAAATACGCCACGTGCAGTTAAGAACAATACAAAACCGTTAAGAACCTTATTCCAATTATTTTTCATTGTTATGTACACACGTTTAGAAGCAAAAAACCCAAGACTGAAAAGCGACGATCGAAAGCCAGTATCCAAACCCGATCGAGTCTGTCTTGCTATCCGAGTGAACGATAACTCTACGGTGAAATGAAACGTTCAAAAGAATCACATACGTCGCAAAACGTTCTCACTACTTTCTTCTCTATGTTATAATACGTGAGCTACGTCGAACCAACGTTCTACTATCAACTTGGTAATACCTTTCGTCAAACCGAAGCTCCAGTACAAACTGTAAACGTGGAGACAGATCGTAAGTAGATTAGTGGACAAACATCGACGAAAGATTCTCGCGTGATTAGCGAACGCGGGCAAATAATCGTGTCTTTTTCACCCGGGAATTTCGAAACAACGATTTCCCCCGATCGATCGGGGCGAATGGAAACAAAAAGACGTTCTTTCGTGCAAAACGTTCGACCGCCGAAAGGAAACAAACAGTAAAACAGAGGACAAAAGCGAAGAACTAAGATCCCTCGTTTGGAAAAACTAAAATCTGCCAATTGAACATTGAAGTAACACCGATTAGTAACAAAAACGAACAGACAAAATTAAAGAGAACAATCAACGTTGACATATCAGTCGGCGACGAAACTCAAAAGACTGTTTCGAGATTCGTACCTCGAGAACGGAGAACGTACAGATAAAAAGAAAACGTGTTACCGGGAATCACCGGGAGTCCTCCTACCGCGGGAACTAGGTCTTAACGACGCGGAGCATCGAAAGAATTTGAAACACGATCAACAAGGTCGACCCTCGGTGCCGGGCCGAGGGTCCGTCAATGCCAAATGACACACAGCGTTGTTGCGGCAACCCGTGTTTTTGGCTCAAGTTCAAATTCCCCTGCCCCAGTGTCGAATCTCAGAATACCATTCCAATTTTTCTCCACTCGGGACCGAACGAGATCGCGGAAGCGAGGCACGCGCGAGCGTGATCTCTTCCACGTACGCGCGTGAGTTGGGTCACGTGTCCCGCGTGTCCCCTAGCGAGCGACAGCTACCGCCGCGTGTCGCTCGCCGGTGATCATCGGATTGAACGGAATCATCGATCCACAGTGAAAAAGAAGGAGAAAAACAGAGAGCCGTACACGGGTTGATGATCACTGACGACGCAAAAACTTACCCTGGCGGCGATCGAGGTGGTCGGCTTCTCGAGCAGGTCCCAGAGCCATTTCTGGTATTGCGCGCACTTCCCCTCCCCGAACTCCTCCTCCTCCCTTTGCCTGAGCGACTCGGCCTCCTTCCTCATCTCCTCGTGCACGTGCTCCTTCCGTTGATGGTACTTGTGCTGGCAACAGCTCTCGAGGTAAAGCTCGTCGACGCCCCAATACTCGAGATCATCGCTGAACGCCAGCACACACATCTCGTCGACTAGATGGAGCTTCCCGGTCCGGTAGAAGTTCAGAATCGAGCTGAACGATTTCGGGTGGCGGTCGAAGAAGTACTCGTTGTCGATTAGCGAGTAATCGTCGCACAGCTCGGTGATCGCCTCGTGGGTGTTGCAGTCCTTCAGGCGGCCGAGCCGTGTGTGCGGCAACCGTTCCAGGGTGCGCCATAGCACCTCGTGCTTGACACCGCCAACGTTGATCGAGACCCGCCGGTTCAGGGCCTTCGACCTCATGATCATGAACGGCTCGGGCGGCAGGGACGTCATCGACCTCGAGAACGCACGCTGCTGCTGCATCTGCAGCGGCAGGGGCGGCGGCGGTGGCGGCGGCGGCGGCGGCGGCGGCGGCGGCAGAGGCGGCGGCAGAGGCGGCGGCGGCAGGTTCACCGGCGCCACCGAACCGGCCGGTCCCACGGACGTCGTGAACGGAGCGTAA